AGATCCTCTTTACTGCACTTGTTTGTTTGGGTGATGCCAAATACAAAGGTAACTCTGAAGTGAAAAATTTCTATAAATTTGTGATTTGCTGCACTACATACTTCATCTGGAAGGAAAGGAATTCGAGGAGGTTTGGAAATAAAATACAAAGTTGTTCTTCTCCCTCATTATCTATCAAGAAAGTGGTTTTTGAGAAAGTGGTTAAATTGAAAAATTCTTTTGGATTGCTGGAAATGCTCTAAACTGGTGGGATTTGCTGATTCGGTCTCTGTTCCTTCTGGTTGGATATTGCTTTTATGCAGCAGATTTTGGGCCTGTCTGGACAATGATGAAGCTCCTACTGCTGCTCCCTTGGATGGTCTTCGGGCAACCAGGGTAAAGGGTCCCTCTCGTCTGATATTATCTTTAATCTGAGTCCAGGCATTCATGGCCACGGAGTAGTTTTTCAATCAGTTTTGGTTGTTTTACTTTCTAGTTGAGCTATCAAAATTATTATGTAATTTTTGAGTGCAGAAATGTTTTTCTGTGCTTGCTTTAGTTTTTGCTTTTCCTTTTTGGCTGTCAAGCTATAGGATTTTACTTCTTTTTCTTATTGTAATCTCATTGTTTGATTAAATATACGGGCCAAGCCCAAATTTTCCCAAAAAAAAAAAAAGTGCGGGACAAGAGGTTTCTAGGGTGGTGTTTCTTCTAGGTCAGCTGAGGATTAGTCACGATGACAAATGCCTTTTCGAGGGTGGCAGCGAGTGAATACCCTGTTCCATATATATTTATCCTCCATCAGCTCATCATAAGGTTTTGTTTGGCACAGCTTTCTTCTTATTTCTTAAAGCAGCGCTTTTGCACAAAATATTTAATTTTTACACAAAAAAAATGTTTTAAGAAGCAGTAAGAAAGCCGTCCCAAATAAAATCTAAAATTGATGTAGGACAAAACATCATTGCTTATGAATTTTGAGTTAAAGACTTATTGAGTTCTTGTTCTATCACAAGTGCATAAATAACTCCAAAGCGGTCCATTGAGAGGACGATAAATTTCATTTCCAAAGTAAACAAACTTATCACATCATGTAGCACAATTGAGTCCAAAATAAATATAAATATATCATTCATTAGTCATTATGCTTGTCTGCCCGACATTAGTCAAGTGAAGTTAAAAGAATTCCAATTAAAAGAGTGGCTACTAAAATGGGGATAAAAATCTTACCCAAAAAAATTAGGGCTAGAGAGTGGAGCAAGATGCAAAAGTAGGGAATATATTAAAAAAAAATGAAGGCATATTGATAGAGATAATCCAAAAGAAAAATTAATAGTAGCTCATAACTCTACATAACCAAGCAAAATAAATTAGATCACTAATCAGCTAAGAAGTTGACTGCACAAATGAATGGGGTCAATCTCATTCTATTTTCAACTTTTAATTTTGTGAGCAATGTTTACTTTGATTTGAAATGAATGATAAGAGAAAGAAGCTTTGGCTCTATGCAATTTAAAATTCATTTAAAGACATTTATTATACATAAGAATACCTACGATAAGTCTATATAAAATTTTGACAACATAATGACATATGATGCACCAACACTTCTTCTTAATAAGGTATGCAAAGATTGACACATATTATACACGACATGCATTTAACACATCTTAAACATGTGTCAGACAAGTCAAAGATATGTTTGATTAAAAAATATTAAAAGTAAATTAGAGACATGTGTTTTAAAAGTTTTAAAATTTTTTAAAAGGGATAAATAGTAATTTTTATATTTCAATTTTTTATTATTATTAAATAATAATTAAATTTCTTATTTACACTCGACACTCCCCAAATCAATCGCTTGCACTCAATATCCCCATTCCCCAAGCATTCACATTTTCATTTCTCTTTGGTCTGTCGCAACTAGAGTTTCACAATAATGCCTAATATTATCTCAACATTGGCATCTAGCGTTATCCAATAGCAACATTTTAAAATCATCTCAATATTAAGAAATTTTATAAACACAATTATGCCCTTACGCTGCCTTGAAATCTCATCTTTGATCAACGTTGTCTTATCATTGATGACCAATGTTGTCTCAAAATTCTGCTCTTAGATAGTGTTGATATTGAAATGAAATCAAATTCTTCATATAAGATAGGTGCTAGCCATCTTCAATTAGAGCTGGCATGTGAAAACCCAAGGACAGGTGAGTGGGAAGATAATGTGGCCTCCACAAAATCACTGAATGAAGATCACTCAATAAGTCTCACCAACTATAAGCTAAGTAACTCATATAAATCTAAAATATTCATATCTAATGCTCAAGAAACTCAACCGTTATACTAAGAGCATACAAAACAAGACAAAATACAAGTGATAGGACTTGCCGAAATTATAAGTCAAATACTCCTAATTGGAGTGGAGCGTAGAGGTTAATGCTAAAAAAAATTAACCTAAAACTGTATAGTATATAAAGGTGAACCAATTTGAATATAAAGATCAAAATGATCTTGATTTAAAGGCAAACAACAATGCCATAAGACTACACCTCGCAGGCAAGTTAACACCTTTGAGTAAATAACTTGGAGGAGAGTTGAAGCCCTCATGTGTACATACAATCTACATTATATAAGATCACATCTTTGTATTACCCTAATCACCCTTATCTATGGGGTAGGGGATTTTAAAAATTAGGAAAGCAATAACCACTTTCTTCTTATCTATGCTTATATTTTTTGCAACTCATCATTTTTATTAGTCGGTGAAAATAATAAATACTATTTGGCTTATTCTCTTATTCTTTTTGCAAATTGCTTACCAAAGACAGTAAAATTAGGGAACTAAATTAAATATATACTTGTATATAGACTCAACATATGGGCAAGTCATAGTTATGTGCACATACTCAACATCAGAATGAGCTACAAGAACCAAAATATACAATTGTCAAAGTGAAGCTTGACTAAGAGAGCTACTCACCTAAGAGGAGCCTAACCAAAAGAGGCATTTGCCTCATATGAGTTCAATCAATATGGGTGCTTACTCGAAAAGTGTTTGCCTTAATGGATCACTCACCATAAGAAGGGTGGATCCTACAAGAATTTGCTCTTGTAAGGGCTCTCGTCTCTACCAGAGGCCTAATCATCGGAGATGCTCACATTTTCTAACTTAGCAATAACGACTACACCTGCCTTACTGACACCTCAGCTTAAGAGGTTATTTTCCAGAGACACTCATCATAGTTGTCACAATGCCACATTAGATATGATTGTCCATGGGTAGCCATCATAGCCTTATCCACATATCTATAAAAGTTAAATCACATATATAATTATTTTATTTTTTTTAATTGTAGCATTTCCTTTAACCTTTTAAATATTTTAAATAAATGATTGAACAATATTTTTAAGACTTCTCCATCTCATTTTACTCTTCAAGGAGAGTAAAATGAATCAAAAGCCCTCTCGTAACTCTCCTAACTTTCACTTTTTCTACTATCAGTCTAGTTAGTCTTGCAAATAGGATTAGTATGTCACCAATGAAAAAATTTAGACCTAAAATACATTATGAATTAGCACTTACATTACAATAAATAGATCATAAAAATTATATTCTCATTATAATAATTATAGTATCAAAAAACAGTTGAAAGTGACTCTCCCCTTAAACTTTAGACTAAAATTTATTCTAATTATTTATAATCTAAATTTTTTTGATAACTTTTATGATTATATTAAATATAAAATATATCCCCCTAAATTTAGAATAAAATTAACTCTGATATAATATGATATTCCTTAAACTGTGTTTGATTATAGAAATATCAATTTTCAAAATCCTATTTTGATATCGAATCCATTGTAGAATATTGTGTCGGCCTCTCGAGACTGTACTTTATTCTCAATGCAGTATTCGATTACAAAATAGGAGAAAATCAAAATCTGCGTGGTGACATAAATTTTCCCACCACATATCTGGGACCAATGCTAGGATATGTGTTCATTCTATTATCCTTTGGTTTGTTGCACTATTTACATGATCTGGAAAGAAAGAAACGAAAGGATATTTGGGAACTCATATGCATCAATTATTACGGGTTGTCATTTGATTCGAAGAGCAATGTTCATCAAAATCTCGAAATGGAAAAATTCTGAATTTCTGTTCTAGTTGTTGAAAAATTCTGAATTTTTGTTGTAATACTTATTGTGCTCAAGCAAGATATTTTGGTTGAACAAGTGCAGTTTTGTTATCTTGTCTTTTCCTCTGGCCCGAGAATTTGGTATTGATGGCTATGCAAGAACAGTTTTATTGTCTTTTTCTTATTCTTCTGGCTCAAGATATTGGTATTGGTGGGCAATGATGTGCGGATTGCCTCCCCTTGGACGGCAGAGATTTTGGTCCCTCACTCATTGCAGCTACTTTCTACTTTGCAACCAGTGGAATGGTCTTCTTTTGCGGCAATTCCTTTTGAATTAAGCCCTCCTGCTCTTTGAATATAATTGTTCTGGTTTCTTTTTTATTAGTTAGCTTTTGTATGTGTAGTTGTTTACACATAGCCTCCTTTGGCATCCTTTTGGCTGTTTTTTGATTGCAAGGTTTATATTTTCACACCAGTAATTAGTTTCTATTAATAGAAATGGGCTTTGCCCTCAATTTTTTCATATATATATATATTTATTTATTTATTTTATCAAAAAAATAGGCGCCGCAAAATTTAGAAGTAAGCTGCTTCTTCACGCCCTTCAGTAACGACAAACTCCACCCAGGTGGCCGTAGCCGCTGCTGACGATCGAGTGAGTGACGTCCCAAAAACACCACCGGCCCCACCTGAATATTTACAAATCAAATAAAACAAATAAAAAAAAACCAACCTAAACGGCTAAACCATTTAAAAATAAAGAATTAAAAAAAGCACGTGCTTCTATCTCGAAGGTTCATGGAACCCAGTCAATTTCAATCTTCAACTCAAAGCCCTTCCGCCCGATTCTTCCACCTATAAATCGCACCCGATCTATCCACCACTGACCACTCCCTTGCAAGCTAATCCACGCCTTCAGCTCACCGGAACTGATCGGAAACCCAAAAGAGCAAAATAAAATGTACAATCTCACCTTGGAGTCCATCAGGCAACATCTCCTTGATGACGCCGAGATCCCATCCTCCGTCGTCACTTCACCTTCACCTCCAACCTACCTTCGCAGCTCCAGCTTCGGCCGGCTCGTCGCCGATCAGTGGATCGACCTCCCCTTCCGTCCTGACGACTCCGACGATATGGTCGTCTACCTCGCCCTCCACGACGCATTCAGAAACGGATGGTTTCCCGGCGACTCCGGCGCCGCTGGCACCGCTCTGCTGGAGCCGGCGAAGCCGGATTCACCTGATCCGGAGGCGGCGCCGGAGAAGGGGAAGCACTTCCGCGGCGTGAGGCGGCGCCCGTGGGGGAAGTTCGCGGCGGAGATTAGGGATCCGGCTAAGAACGGGGCTAGGGTTTGGTTGGGGACATTTGAGACGGCGGAAGAGGCAGCGATCGCATACGATCGCGCCGCATACCGGATGCGCGGATCCCGAGCGCTTCTTAATTTTCCCCTTCGCATCGGAACCGATGCCTGCGCCGGCGAATCGCCGGCAATGATTTCTCCGGTTAAGCGGGCGATTTCTGTATCATCCCCTTCCTCTTCCTCGTCATCTTCGTCTAATTCGTTTTCGTCTTCTTCAATGTCCTCACAATCCACGGGGTCGGTGAAGCGGAGGAAGAGAGGACAGGCCGCAGCGGCGAGTCAAAGCCCGGATTCGCCTGCCGCTGTTTGTTCTCCGGCTCCGGTACCGGTTCAATCTCCGGCTAAGGAGTAGTCCCGAAAAGGAGCAGGTGAGCAACTGGCACGTGCTGGGGAAATGTTAGTTAGCTAAATGGGTACGATCGGAGTCGGCACACGTGTAAACATGAAGTGCAGCCTTTTGAATACCCCAGCAATCAATGGAAAGTTGAGGGGGCGAAATGCAAAATAGGACTGTTAATAATTCAGTTAGATTAAAAAATTGCTTAAAAACTATTTTTGTGAAACTTGCTTTTGCAAAAAGAATCAATATATAATAATTTAAGAAAACTGAATTATTTGCATTCCAATTGGAATAGTTGTACTGTCTCTAAGCAAGATGAGTGTGGCTTAGTATTTGGAGATTGTTGAAGACTGGCTTGTGATAACAAATTGGGCCTTGGGCCTTGGGGCCCATTGTACATTGAAATTCCTATATTAAATTTCTTTTATTATTATTTTTTTCATTGAGATGCACATGAGTTTTAAGTACTTGTGATAAACGTGTTTCAATGAGATAAATTTAATGAGTTTAAAATTACATAATTTTGAATTTGTTATCATACTAAGATTTTATTTATGATAGTTTTAAAATTATTGTTTTATACAGTAAATTTTAAACCAAAAAGTTATTGAAACTAGTAAAAAAATAATGGCAAAAAGTTATCACAAAAAAAAACCTGAAATATCTAAAATAAATAAGGGTCTTATTATCAAATTGCAAGATCAAAATTGTGAAATTTACATAGCTCTTATTATCATCAATTAATTATTCTATGCGGAAGTTGAATGTCATCCGGAAACCAATTAAAATGCGCCAAGTCAACCTCTGCTTGGTACCAGTGACGTGGTGTGTTCTTGTTGGTAGCATTTTGCATCTGATCTCCGTAGAGAATAATTTCTGCTTATCATCATGTGGAACCTTCAATGGACAAAAACTATTTTTCCGTCCTTTAGAACTTCTCTCTGCTCTCCTAATTTGCAGGGCACTCTTCTTTTGGCCAATTTTTTTGGGTTTAACCCATTACATTGTCATAAGAAGCTGCAACAAAATTCTGGGAGAATAAAACTTAAAGAAGCTGCAAGAAGTTATACCATCAGAATAGTTGAGACAAAAGAAAAAAAAAAAGTATTAACAAAATCTTGTTGGACTCATGAAGCAAGAAAAGCTCGTTTTTTGGAGTTTGTTCCCTATTGTTGTAGTGTATTATTATTATTATTGTTGCGTCCTGGAATATTCGCGGCGGTAGAGAAATATATAGTTTAACGTCTTAGCGTTGTACGAAGATCCAGCACATAATCAGATAAGTGAGAGGGTGTAGCGTTCATAAGAGACACCAAAGTTTTTACGTGGAAAACCCCTGAAAAATGGGGAAAAACCACGGGGCCTGGCCCGGTTTGAATGAATCCACTAGTATTTGTAGTCAATTACAAATGAGGCCCTTCCTTAGGAGAAGGCCTTGGATTGATGTAGCAAATGTACATCATATAGATTGCACGAAGCATAAATAAACCCATGAAAAACAAAGAGGGCTACAACCCCTATAGACTCAGTCATGACAATCCTACACCCATCGAGTAGCGAAGGACTGGCCATCCATTGGAGGTAGTAAGCAACAAAGCATCCAGCTGATGATCTGAAAATAAATAAGCAACACCCCACAAGGCATTGAAAAAATCACTTGATAAGAACCAACCACCAAGGTTGTCAGTCCAAGGCAAACCCGAAGATATGCAGAATTGTCTCATCATAATCCGGAATCCAAAACCAAAAACCAAACAAGAATAAATCGACTCCAACAAAAAAAAAACCAATACCAAGCTCAGCACAAAGCGCAACACTAGAAAACACGTCAACAGCCCCAGAACCACCCACAATATAAAACTCAACTGATAATAGAACTATTTTTACATCTTTTGTCAGCACCACTTGAAACTGCAAGATCAACTACGCAGCCCGCCATGAAATTTTATAACAAATAAAGGCATGAGATAGGGCTTGAAGAGAAGGGAGTCCTAGAGCCCCATAGGCTTTGGGCAAGCAAGTTCTCTTTCATGATATAAGATGCAGCTTTCTTACATAAACTTTCCGATGAAACAATAATCTGGTATACAATTTATTTATATGTTTGTAGTAAGTTTTAGACATAATAGATCTTCTAATCCAATAATCAATAAAATTTCAAATGCTAAAGCGAATATATTTTATTCTACCAGCAAAAGACAATAACTTAGATTTCCAACCATCCAACATATAAGAAATAGTTTGGAGAAGAGTTTGAAAATCAGTCTATAAAGGAAGATAGGGATCCCCAAATACACAATCTTACTTTCCCCCAATCTCAGTTTTAAGATGCTAAGAATCTCCTCAAAATCTAGAAAACCAGTAGAGAAACAAATAGAACTTTTAGCTTGAGTACTCTTCTTAAAAGAAGAACGAGCTCGACGAGACTCGATCAACTCGCTTGAACATGCTCGAGGGAAAATCAAGACAAAAACGAGGTCAACAGAAACAAATAGAACTTTTAGCTTGAGTACTCTTCTTAAAAGAAGAACTGCTTTAGCCATAAAAACTTCACAAAATATCTTTCTTTATGGAATTTTCAATTGTCACTTTACAGATAACAACACTTGCCCTTAATAGATCCCAATTTTAGAAGTTCTCACTTCTCTCTACTAAAAACTTTATTCAAATGAGTAGAGACACAACCTACTTATAATTTTTTTCAGTGAGAATTGAGAATTCTGTTTATTTTTATAATAGTTTTGAACTCTCAACTTCTTGATTATTTTGTATTTTTTTAGCATTTTAGTGCCTTAATGAGCATAATATTAAATAATCTTAAACTAAGCATAATTGTTTTATCAACAAACTCATTTCAGCTCTTGAGTATTCAAACATTGAGGCTTCATTTGGGACGGCTTTCTTACTGCTTCTTAAAACCGCTTTCTAGTACAAATTTTTTAATTTTTGTACAAAAAAAAAAAAAAACATCTTTAAGAAGCAGGAAGAAAGTCGTCCCAAACAAAGCCTGAATGGAGTTTAGTCTTCCCAGCGGCTTTCAGAAATTTACAATTATGCGTACGAGTAATTCTGTAATTGGTTTATTACCTTATACTTTCCATAATTGTCCTGTCAATAATAATAATAATAATAAAACATAGCAAATCTTGTAAGCTCTTTATATGTGTGGAAAATCAATCGCTTCAATCTCTTGATTTCTATAAATACCCCTCCAAATGTAGGGTAAGAGAAGATCACAATTTTTTCTCCCAAACTCTTATTTTTCTCTTAAATAGTCATTATTGCTCTTAGGCTCCAACTTTTCTCTAAAAAATAGTTGGCAATGATGAATTCATCAACTTAATAAAGGGACTCATTTTAGGTAGAAATTATTCTGTGCGGATGCCGGACACAACTCTATGCCGCAGTACGAGCTGCGGTACCGAACAATATCGAGCTGTGGTACAGTACAAGGGTGATGCGATGCATTTTTATTAGTCTCCGAACGACATTTGATGTCCGCACATAATATTAAAAAGAGTTCTAAGATTTTTAATGATGAAATTCTAATGTTTATGGATTCGATGAACTTATACAACTAAATTCAGTTTAAATTTTATTTATTTTTATGAATGTTTCACACTTTTTTGATATGAATTTGTTGATGCCAAAATATTATCACTGCATTAGGGGAAAAAATTCCAGAACTTGACCGGTCAAATATGCCCCTCATAAGTTTTATACTTTGTGAATTTATATTGATTTTAACATTGATTAAAATTGGCGAAATTTTTGTGTGGATATTCATCTTTATGTGTATATCCTTCACAACATATGCCTCGAGATTTGTGTCTGATCAAGACTATTTTTATGATGTGTGTGAGTGTGTGTGCATATATATATACACACACAAAAACTCTTTTACTTAACAAATTAATCCAAAGAAAACTCGAGCTATTCGTGAACAATATGTTTTTTTAACCATCATGATTTCTATTAATTATTTCATTAAAAAATGAGTCTTAAATTTCCATAATAACATGACTATAACATTTGAGAATTACTCAAAAATAGAACAAAGTCATCATAAAATGTATGGACTGGAACATTCACAGCGATAGAGAGAGATAGAGTGTAGTGTCCAAATTTTGTACAAATATTCAGCACACATATAGATAATAGAGAGGGGTGCAAGAGTCATAAAAGACGCCAAATTTTTTTAATTGGAAAACCCCTTAATAGGGGAAATTAAACCCATGAGGTCTGACCCTATTAAAAATAATTCCACTAGTAGTTGTAGTCGATTGCAAATCTTAAGGGGCCTTGGCTCAATGTAACAATTATACATCATATATAGCATATTACATAATGAGAGTTGGAAAAAATCTAGTGATATGAGAATTGTTATCAAGATAATGTTGGCCTATTTGTTTGGCCTGTATGATCATAGTCGGCGAGCAATGATAGTCAGATGGTCCATAATCTGTAAACAATAAAGGTCGTAGAGATCATAGTCGGCAGACGACGGATATCAAAGAGACTATAATCGATGGGCGACGGTGGTAGGAGGGATAGAGGTCAGCAAGCGACGGTGGTCAGAGGGATCGAAGTTGGCAGGCGACAGTGGTCAGAGTGGATTGTAGTTGGTTGGCCACAGTGGTTGGAGTGACCATAGTCGGGTGATGGTGGTCTGAAGAACCATAGTCGGTGTGTGACGGAGGTCGGAGGGGTCATAGTCGGTAGACAACGATGGTTAAAAGGATGGTAGTCAACGAGCGACAGAGATTGGAGGGGCCATAATTGACAGGCGATGGTGGTCGGAGGGATTGCAGTCGATAGGTGACGAAGGTCGGAGGGACCATAGTTGACGGGCGACAAAGGACGAAGGAACTATAGTCAGCGGACAACAAAGATTGGAAGGATCGTAGTTGGGTGACTATGGTTGGAAGGGCTGTAGTCGGACAATTGTGGTTAAAAGGACTGTAGTCGGGTGATAAATGTTAGAAGAGTCGTAGTTGGAGCGACGGTGGTCGAAAAGACCGTAGTCGGGCGACAGTGGTCATAATGACCATATTTGAGCAACAGTGGTCGGAAGGGCTGTAACGGGAGACGGTGGTCAGGTTGAAGTCTGATGGTGGTCAGCGGACAAGTGGAAGTCTGGTGGCGGCAGGTGGCTAGGCCGTGCAAGTTTGAGAAAATAAGAGAGATCCTTTGTTTTTTATATCTTATTTCAAAAAAATAATTTTAAAAGTTTTTATTCATATTTGCATCGAGATTTGTAGGCTATTTTTGGTGACCTATAAAGTATTAATACTAAATATATTGTAGCTATTTAGCAAATAACAGGAATATGACTTCTTTTCCTTTTATTATTTTTTTTTTTAAATTAGCTCTTAAATTCGATGCATCCAAAAATTTAAATTTATCTTCAATCATAATTTCGAGCGCATATAAACTCCAATTATCCAATCAAATCCATTAAGAATGAGCACAAGATAATATAATGAATAAATTAATGTAATAAATTAAGCATCTTACCACAATCCCACCATTTGTAATCAGAACTTTTATTACATCCAGTGAACGTACGCTCCTCTACATTCGGTTCTTGACCAAAACAGCGCAATACCGAGTTTTTTTAAAAAACTCGGTACAACTCGGTACTCGGTATTGCGCTTTTTTTGTCTAGATCCGAACGTAAAGGAGCGTACGTTCACTGGATAAAATAAAACCTTTAATCTTTCTGTTAGTCATTCCACTAAATTCCTCACCAAACCCAATGCTTATCCCGTTATCCCTTCAAGAAAAAAAAAAACCATAATACCGTTACCTCCTTTGTCAAAATTTGTTGCAAATATTAATTTACAGTTTGGTCCACAAAGACCATTAAAAAAGCAATAATAATAAAGATACATCTTCTAGATTGGCATCCCCAAATGCCTCAAGCAACTTGTAATATTTTGAATCATATTTGCTTTTCTTTGAAAAAAACTTGCATTTTTAGTAATCTTTTCAATGGCATTTTTTTTAATTGTAAAGAATCTTTAGAGTTATTTTGATGAAGTTTAAGATGGTTGTAATTGGATGACTGACGAGCGGTGGCGAGGAGGGTAGGGCAAAGCAGTAGGGGAATCTTTGGCGGGGGGTGGATAAAGAATTCTTCTTAAAATTCTTACATGTTGTGAGTAAAAATATTAGTTTAAGGGATTTTGGATTGAAGTAAAAAGATATAAAATTATAATGTAAAATTTTAAAAATATTGAATTTTGATTTAATTTAAAAAATTAGTTTTTTTGAAATAGTTTAAATCCATCCTCTAGTTTTTTTTTTTTTTTTGGAAGAATTTGGGGCAGAGCCCATATATTAATCACCAAAGATTACAAGTAAGAAAATTACAAGTAAGCAAAAACTATACCACCCAAAAGAAAAGAAAAATTGCAGATGAATAAAAAATAATTATAATTTGCTCATTTTAAAATACACCGCAAATTTTTCTGTTATTTTCACCGCCAATTGCCACCAAATTTGCTTTTATTTATTTTATACTCATTCAAATAATTTAAAATATATTAAATACATTATATTTTATTTTATTTTTTGGGAAAACCCGGGGCTCAAAGCCCATATATTAATAACTAAAAAAACAACTTACAAGTAAACTGTGAAAAGAATATAAAATCCTAACCAAAATAACACAAAGACTATAACAAGGCCAAAAATGGACAGGTGACATTACAAAAGACTCAGAATTTAGGACAAGTCTCATTCATCAAGATATGTCTGATAGCGTATACGAGAAATTCAAGCGGTGGCGCCGGTTGCCCAAAAGACAGGCAAAGTATGTAGTAAATTCCAGCAATAGCGGCCATCACAGTACCTCCAACCTGAGTTTGAGAATCCACAAAAGCGAGCCAGGTTGCCGCAGGGGCCCTCCATGGCTCGGAGAGACTGCCCTTGCTCATCATAGTCTGTAAGCCAAGCGTCCTCCAATACCAGTTATAGTCTTTGCGGTATACCCAGGAAATTTTATGCAAGGTATCCTCAAGCATTATGGAATGAAAACAGCATTCCCAAAAAACTTTTCCCCAGGTCTGAAAAAAGACAATATCGCAAAACTGGGCCAAAAAAATGAGCATTAGAGAAAAAAGGGTCCCAAAAATTGTGTAATGGCCAACCAAAACAACCCGAAGGTGAGACAGCAACCTCCAACACAACCAACAAACAAGGAAATGGTAGACTAAATACTCGTAAGCCTTTGAAGTAAAGTAGGTTTGTGCTTCCATTTTGCAATTTTCAGTCTAACAACCAATGATATGTTGCAGATAATAGTAGCCACATTATATTTAAGATTAGAAAAAAGGCGACTGCTGCGCTCTTTCCAAATATGATACGTAATGCAGCTAATGGCTAAATAACAAAACTCTTTATCAGTTCTATCAAAGCTTAAAGAATTTTCAATATAATCCAGCACTTGGGGCAATGTCGGTCTAAGTAAGAAACTATTAAAATCCGGCAAAATGTGCTTGAGAATGTAAAACGTGAAATCACAGTCAAAGAATAGGTGTGAATGATTCTCAAGATGACCCGAGCAAAGAGAGCAGTGAGGAGGCACCTGGATACCCCTCATAATCAGATTATCTGCAGTTTTCAATTTTCCAATTCTAGCCATCCAAGTAAAACATGCATACTTGAGAGCATGGTTTTTATGCCAAATAGAAATATACCAGTCAGCCTTAGGAATGCCAGAATAAAAGTGTTGAATGAAGTTTCTAAAAACCCATTTAGTAGACCCCTCCCATAAAATTCCAGTATTATCTAGTATATTCACGGCCTTAATGCTATCACATAGACTTTGAGGTATTAAAGGAGGCAGCTGCCAGTTATTACCCAAAATAAAATCGCTCACCCGAGCAGCTTCCAAGACCGGAAGTTGAAAAGTGTCACATATAGGTTTCCCATTGAGCCACGGGTCCCAGAGGAATGAGCAGTTACAGTTTTTTGACACCGGAAAAGATAGTTTCTCTTTGATTTTATAAACAGTTGCAGAGATTTTATGCCAAAATTTTGAAGTGGTAGAAGGAGGATTCTTCCACGGCATGATGTACTTAGATTGAAACCAGCAGCACAGCAGATTTTGGTTGTTATAAAATCTTCCAATAATGGAACAGCAGACACCGAAATACAAAGCATCAAAAGAAGGAATACCAAGGCCTCCAGCATATTTTGGAATGGTAACATTAGACCAAGAGATGAGGTGAAGTTTTCTCTCCAACAAGTTGTTGTGAAAAAGAAACTTGGAGCAAAGTTTGTTTATGATAGTACAACAACCCTTAGGTATGATCGAACCCCTTATCCAATAAGCAATAGAGTTGGTGATTGTAAATTTGAGGAATTGAACCCTACCTGCAAAAGAAAGAAATTTGTTTTTCCAACCAGCAAGTAGAGCAAAAATTTTGCTCAGAAGTGGTTGAAAGTGAGAAACTTTGAGTCTTTTAGGCGATATGGGGATACCCAAATAAGTAAGATGAAGATTGACATTAAGAATGCCCAGCTCCTGGCAGATATTTTGATTTTCCGAATCATGATGAGAGAAGATGATAGCACTTTTATTAGTATTAATTTGGAGTCCCGAAAGTGAAGCAAAAAGTTGCAAGCAATTATTCATATGAGTGGCATTTTCTCTAGAAGACTCTCCCAAGACCAGCAGGTCATCAGCATACATCAAGTGATTGATGTAGAAATCTTTGCATCTAATGCCTTTGAAAGTGGGTGCGCCAGAAGGGTCAATCAGGATATTGGATAAACAATCCATTGCAATACAGAAAAGGAGAGAGGATAGTGGACAACCTTGCCTCAAGCCCGAACTGGATTTAAAAAACCCCTCAAGGGATCCATTCAAGCAAATGGAGTAATGAACGTCGCTAATACAACCTTTTATCCAAGCGACAAAAATCTCCGGAAAACCCTTCTGTATAAGTCTAGCAATAATAAATTCCCTAGAGACCGTGTCAAAAGCTTTTTTGACATCAAGTTTAGCACAAATTTTTTTATTGGGGCCTTTGAAGTCTCTAAGTAATTCAGCAGCAAGAATAATGTTATCAGTAGAGCATCTGTTGGCAATGAAACCCGATTGACTTTCATGAATAATGAAAGGGAGAACCACTTTAAGCCTGTTAGCAATGACTTTAGTAACAATTTTGTAGAGAATGTTGCAAAGAGAGATTGACCTAAAGTCATTGATGTTGGAAGCATAAGAGCATTTATGGATTAAAGTAATGGCTGTCGCTTTAACCCCTCTCGGAAGAGAGCCAGAGTGAAAGAAATTTCAAACCGCATTATACACTTGCAACCCAATAAGATGCCAAGATTTTCTATAGAAAGCAAAAGTGAAACCGTCGGGTCCAGGGGAAGAGTTTTCCTTTCCATCAAAAACCGCAAGCTTGACCTCATCCAAAGTCAATTGAGCCACAAGCATGCTACAAAAGTGAGGAGGGACCAGATTTCCATGAGGGATATTCAAAGGTAATTGAAGGGGAGGATGTGGGGTATTGAACAAGCCCTCAAAATGATTAATAATGGCAGATGAGATATCGTTAAACTTTGTAAAGCCCTCAGGAGTGGAGATCTCCTTATATTTTATTTTACTCAGCGTTAAATTTTCAGCAATTAAAAAAGCCTCCTAATGCTGATGTAAAATAAGAAGGTAGATTAGATCTCTTTGGTTGTCCCCTCACTAATATTTATTATTACTTTCTGAATAACATATAACGTAACGTATTTTTTATGATCCCTTCATGCTTATATAAAAAATAAATAAAATCTGTAATTTACAAGTTTGACCTTCAATTGATTCTTCTTTCATAGGAAGACTATTTCTGAGAATTTAAAAGTTTAAATTTTAGCACGAAGAATATGAGTGAGATTAAAGTAGAAATCCAGCGTTAGTTGGCGGCAGCGTGACAATCCGGCGGTAGTTAAGGAGGAGGTTGGTGGCAAAAGTGCTCTCTTTCTTCTCTTGTTTGGGTCCCCTCTTAAAGAAAAATGAGAGATCTATTTATAATTTTTGGAGATTGACATGACCAGCAAATAATTAGTATGAGCGATTTGAATGGACGATCGATGTTAATATCCTTGATCATGGACTATTTACTAGGCATTTGAATGTCTTAATGATATCAGAATTTGACAATATTTAGACTCATTGGATTCGTCTATTCGAGCTGCTCGATTCGACTATAAGCATGTCACGTTTTGAAAGTGTTTTGTCGTCCAATTTATGGTTTGAACCTTCCAATTGTGCTTCCGGTCTTTGATTTATACTCATTTTGGCTCGGATTGAGTTGAATTTGGCCTCGTTGGGTTCGTATTTCCAAGATGTTCAGTTAGACTGTAAGTTTGTTGAAATCGGAGTTCGTATGCGAATTGAAATTTTAAAGTTTCCAACCTGATTTTGCGTTGAGATTCGTGCCCAATCAAGATATTTTTTTGATGATGTATCACTAATATATTTAAATGAGTTGACTCTTAAGCTAATGAGTCGAATATGGACTGATTCAACCCTAACTCATCAGCTCAGTTAGCTCAGCTTATAAGCCCTTTATCAAGCAAATATAAATTCAATAGCTAATTAACTATTCTGCTAAAGATCTCATCTGCTTCCAAGGAGGTTCCTAATGGCCCTCTTTCTTCACTCAGCCTATTTAATTCTTCTCAAGTCTCAACATAAATTCTTATTCAAAATTTCCACAGTTTGCCAAGACACGAAATTTCGGCTTTCAATTCTTGCCTAACTTTTGAAGCTGATTCTAGCGCTTTCAAGTAGGAAATTCAAAGGCAGCTGATCGAGCTTTGGTTAGTTGAGAGCTTTGGTTATTCATTAAGAGATTTTTCAAAACTTAGTGTATGTAATATATATGTGAATTTATTTTAATTTACCTAAATGTTATAAAAAAAATAAAAATAAAATAGTAAATTCAAAATTTGCTCAGTCATAAAAGTATTGGATTCATTTAAAAAATGAATATAATATATATAATTGTTGCGTGTTAGAAAATACGCGGCGGTAGAGTTTGTAGATTCACGTCCGAGCGTTGCACGTAAAATTAACACACAAGCAGAAAAGAAAATGTAAACACCAGAGGTTTTTACGTGGAAAACCCAAAAAGGGAAAAAAAAACCACAGGGCCTCGCCCAGTTGTAAAGTTACACTAGTGCTTTTGTAGATTATAAATGGCTGATTCGTCCCACAAGTTGGGATAATCAGAATACAATTTGTTTCTCCCATGAAGTTTACAAAGTTCTATGAATTCCTGGCATTTCCCGAAAATCCGGCAGAGTTTCGGCGTCTTCAGGCGGCAGAAAGAGCTCCGGCGGTGGTCGAGGAGGTGAGGAATCTCCTTTTCCCCTTTCTCCTCTTCTTCTTCTCTCTCTTCCCTTGAGTCCCTTTGGTGTAGAATGAGGGCTCTATTTATAGTTTTTCTGGAGTGGCATAGCCCGTAAATAGGCGTGAAATCAGGGGCGAATTGGGAGTGTTTTGAATGGACGGCCAATATTGAATCCTTTGATCATGCACCGTTCGTTGGGCATTTGAAAGCTTTTATGATGTTTGAATTTGGCGATCTTGGGCTTGTTGGATTCGTCTCGTCGAGCCGTTCGATTCGAGTATAAGCTCGTCAAAATCGGAGATCGTTTGGTAACTCAAATTGCGGTTTGAACCTTCCAACAGCTCTTTGAGCCCTTGATTTGGACTAATTTGGGCTCGGATTGGGTTGATCTTGATGTCGTTGGGTTCGTATTTCTGAGATGCTCAGTTTGACTATAAGCTCGCTGAAATCGGAGTTCATATCTCCCGAAATTAATTTTTGAAGTTTCCAACTAGCTTTTGCCTCGAGATCCATGCCCGATCAAGCTAATTTCATGATGACATATCAATGATATGTAAAGAAAGGTGTAGATAGGCCTAAAAATAATTGATTAGAAATTATTATAAATTGCATTTTTTTAATTAAATGAAGCTTATATTTTTAATAAGACACAATGGAGACAAAAGATTTATGTAGCCGCCCCCACATAGTGGAATAAAGATTTGATATTATTATTATTGTACAAAATTATTATTTTTTAAATTGTCATTCAATTATTTTAATTTATGTAAAAATTTGAACTCATATTTTTTATTTTTATCAAATTGTTGACAATTTAATCATGACAATCATAAATCTATGAATTCAATAATTCCTAAAATTAATAAATTATTTTAGATCTAATATATGTTGTTCTTCTAAATTTATTTTGAGATAAATATTAAATAAGATTAATTAATGAAATCATTATGATGTGAATCTTATGATCATCCTCTCATTGTTCTATATGGAAAATCTCTTCTCAACTTATAATATCCTAATTTTAATACAATCAATATTTATATTAAAATAAATTCTTGTATTTTTTATTTATTATAATAAAATTTATGATTATAATATCTTAATATATATTTTATAAAAATCAAAGCTCTAACGAGAAGATTAAAATAATAAAAATCATAATTTAACTATACTTCCATTCTATTGAATAATAAATAATAATATAACCACTAGAAAATAATAATAAATATCAAACATTTTGTAGGGCCGTGTCACTAGGAAAAGTACGAGTTTTTATAGAATCTTCACTCTTGGGCTGGTCAGCTTAGGCTTCGTTTGGGACGGCTTTCTAACTGCTTCTTAAAGCAGCTTTCTAGTAGAAAAAAAATTAATTTTTTACTAAAAAACTGCTTTAAGAAGCAGTAAGAAAGCCGTCACAAACGAAACCTTAATCAAAGTTCAAAAAAGATTCTACCAAACTACATAAGCCCTGCGCAAACAAATATAATTTTTATGTATTTCATAAGCAATTTTTAAATAGGTATTCATAATCAATTTGATAATCATAACTTTATAACAAGAAATAATTTGTAGAAGGAACATTTACACAAGACCTGACCTACCCTGACTTAATTTCATTAAACCTTTGATTAAGGCACTGAAACTCATTTGAAAAAAAAAAATAATCGGTATAGATTAAACTAAAACCAACATAGTTTAATTATCCATAGAACGAAATTAAATCATGACGTAAATTATAATTTTCTCCAACTTGACATCAAAATAATAATAGAACATGTATTTAATTAAGAATTTATTTGAGACAATTTTCTTATTGTTTTTAAAGCAGCTTTTTAATATAAGAATTTTTAATTCAAAAAAATTTTGTACTAAAAAGTCACTTTAAAAACACGGTAATAAAGTTGTCCAATATAAAGCCTAAACCTCCTAATTCTACCCTAATCTAATAAAAACATTAATAAAATATATAATCTTATCCTCTCATTTATGGAACCAATTCTATAAATAAATATGTATTTTGATGCATAAGATGAAAAGGAGAAAATAAACAATGAAGAAAGAAAGATGGCGAAGACGACGACGAACAAGAAACGATTTTATTTGCTCGACAAAGCTGAATAAGGCAAGGAGAGAAATCAATGTTGTTGGCTTTTGGTTGAAGGACGATGAAAAGGTGAATGCTTCACTGATATCAATTTCTCAGTCCAAGTAGGAAATAGGAATCTAGTGTGGGTCTCCGAAAGGATGTTGCTCGTGGGTTAGAATGCAAAGGATAAGAGATCTTACTATCCCGTAAGACAAAACAGTTGCAGACCTTTACACACTATGTAAGTAGATCATTGGAAGAGCATATGAGATCATACGTATTTTTGTCTATGGAAATTAGTGGCTTTCGCACACACAACTTGATGGATAATAATATATATATCTCGATAGTCACGAGATTTCTCTCATTCAATATATCAACTCAAATAAGATTTATTTGATGTAGGTGTCAGTTTTCCACGTGTGGAGGCCTCCATGACTAATTACATCTTAAGTTTTGGCCTAAGAATACTCTAGATTATAGATATTATTTTATTCTCTTCTTGATTTGACACATAATAAAATCTCTAGGCTCTCCTAATCCAAACAAATATATGATAAGTTAGGCTATCCAACACACAATGGTCATGCAATCATTCGGTCAATCAAAAGAGATGAAATCAAGAGAGGAGATATCACAC